CTTACCTGACAGTAACATTGTTCAAGTTCACATTTGAATTTAATTTTCATTGATTGGGACACTCTCCAAAAAAATTTTTTAAAGTACTTGGATCAGAGTAACATTTTTTTCTACTCTTCAGTTTCACTTCCCCTCCTCTCCCACCTCCCCCCCCCCCCCCCCCCCATCCCACTTTTATTTATTTTATTTTCCTTCTGGATCAAAGATTCAAAAGTACAGTAGATTTTAGTGCATTTCTTTACATACCTGTCCAGCATGCTTTTTGACTAGGCTATACAGATTGGTGAACTACTTGGAACTGAGCAGTCAGCAGTTCTGTCTTGCTCCCCACAAGTCCTGAAGTTGTTTTTATTCCCTCTGTGAAAATGACTATGTCAGCAGAGAGTACAAAAGGAATCAAATTATACTTCATCTTATTAGAAAACCACCTGGAAGCCAATGGAGACATCCCACTCCTCTTTGCCTTCCAGGTCTTTGATGCACTTGAAAAGCCTCATCCACTGTCAGGAGGGCTTACCTCCCTGCATACTCAGCACTACAAGAAAGTATATTTAAACTGAAGGTTAATATTGAAAATGCCCAATAGACTTTTCCCTTCTTTCCAGTGCTTGATTTGGTTCTTCTAGTCACAGTCTTAATATTGCCAACTTCAAGTCTTATGAATCCAAGAGGCAACTTCCTTTTCCCTTCCTCCTCTCTAGAAAAACCTAGATTTACTTAAATGACAGGGGTCAGCAAGCAACTAATGTTATTTAATTACTGGATCTCAAAAAAATCTCCAGAGTTAGGAGGGTTGGTACCACTGCTATCTCTAACATGTCACATTGCTTGTGGGACTTAGGGGCTTGGACTCCTTCTGGAGCAAGTCCAGAGGAGGGTCATAAAGGTTCCATCAGAGGGATGGAACATCTCTTCTATGAGGACAGGCTGGGAGAGCTGGCGTTGTCCAGCCTGGAGGAGATTCCAGGGAGAACTCATTGAGACCTTTTAGTACCAAAAGGGGGCCTAGAGAAGAGATGGAGAGGGACTTTTTGCAAGGGCTTATAGTGATAGAAATGGCTTTAAACCAAAAGAGGGTAGATTTAGATTAGATATTAGGAAGAAATTTTTTACTGTGAGGTTGGCGAGGCACTGGAAAATGTTGCTCAAAAGGTTGTGGATGTCCTGTCCCTTGAAGTGTTGAAGGCTGGGTCAGATGTGGCTTTGAGCTACCTGGGCTGGTGGCAGATGTCCCTGCCCATAGCATTGGAACTAGATGGTCTTTGAAGTCCCTTCCAAACACAAATAATTCTTTCATTCTCTGATCAACAGCCCATCCCTGACAGTTCATTAATTTCATCAGCAGAGTGGTTGCAAACATCGCTTGACCCAATTCTTTCCCTTCCTGCTTAGGGCTCCTTACTACTGGGGCAATTGGGAATAGTGGGAATGTAACACAGAGAGGAGGTTTATGGGTTTATTTACTGACCTTCAGGATGCACCCTGCTGTGAAGAGTCTCTTCCTCACGTACACAGAGGCTCATGCACGCACACGTGCACATTAAGGCTGCTGCACTGTGATCATACAGCCCCCTTTCAGAGCCTGTGCTCATCTCTTTAATATTTGATAGCTATTTGGCAGTCAGCAGAGAGAAACAGAGCTTTGTGTTACATAACTCCTATTAGAAGTTCGGGGTTGATAAAGCATAAGTCGCATTTCTCATTATGAGAAATAAAGTGTGTTTCTCACTTCTTTGCATCCAAATGCCAGCCTTTGATGTCTCTACTTGGCCCTCGCTGCAGCTAAAATCTCTTGTGGCATGTACTTCATAGCCATGTAAAATAGCAGTGTGTTCCTTGCCCCGCTAGTTAAGGAGATGCCAAATGATGTCAACTCAAGGCTGAAAGTGCTTTTCTGCTCTACAATCAAATAGCTGAGCTCTGGAAGCTTATTACTGCTTTTTTAAGGATCTCCAAACCCAGTTGCAATGATATTACTCCATTACTATTTCTTCTTCTGCCTTACTCATAAACTTACAACTCCCTGTTTGCTTGCTTTTAGTGCAGTGCAACAGGGGGATTAAATGGACTTCATCTTCCCTTTTCGCCTTGATGCTTTAGTGCATTTCAAAATGAAATAGGACTGTGTTAAATTGCACCTTGAAGAAATCAGAAGCTTAGAAGGAGGTTTAAGTTTTAGGAAAAAAAATAAAGTGGCTAAAGCAGCAGGCAAATAAAACAGATTTTGAAAGCTTATAACTCCTTTCACTCCTGTGAATCTGAGATTCTCTCCTGGACCTGTCCCCCTCCTCATCTATATACTTAAAGAAACTCTCTTGACAGCTATTATGCCCTGTGTTACCACAACTCTATATTCTGTCCTTTAAGCTTTACAGGGTAGGAGAAATGTCTAGTATGACCTTCAGTCTTGGATACCCTTCTTTCTTTATCTTTTAGAATTACTTCCCCAAATAGTCTTTATTTAAGCTTTTTATTTCCTGTGGTGTTGAAGCCAGTCCTGTGATTTCACATATTTTTAAGCTGATAGATTGAACTGCAGATGATAAAGGCTCTACTTTATCCTGTAAACCAAACTGCTTTTATTAATACCCTAGGCTTATCATGAGGCTACAGACTTTCTTCTTCCTCCCTCCTAGAAGTGAGGCCCTTGTTTGAGAGAAGCAGCTAATTGATGGTGGAAAGTGTCTGTCTCTCCCCTTGCTGGGTACAGCCCAGATGTGCTCAGGAGGAAGGGCCTTCCAGGGAGAAGGGGGCAGCTGGGTCTTCCTGCCCATGAAGCACTCAGTGGTTTCTGTGATGTGGCCACCTGTGCTGAGTGAACTGAACTGAGACCATGCAATCATTCCCTAAAGGCTGCTGAGCAGCAATTACCTATGCTAATGGCTTTTGTGTTACTGATGTAGACTGAAGCTGAACCCTTTATGGGTGCTGTGTCTGGGGATGATGGATAAGGGTGGTAACCAGTTTCCAGGCTGCCCAATTTAAAGGTCTTGCTATATCAGCAAGTGCTTGCTTTTTACAGACCTGCTGGGTGGAGCTTCTGTTTGCCAAAACCACTCTCAGCTCAATGAAGAAGACTGTGAGGAAAGATCATTTTCAGTAGCTATTACCAATATTGCAAAGGGCATAACCTGATCTGCTCTAGGGAAGTTTACTTCCTTCTTTGGACTTGGGGAAGGAAGTAATTTTGGAAAATAGAAAAGCAATATTATTTTAAGGTACAACTGTATTAGATATGAGATGTGCCTAATTTTATGTGTTAATAAGCATTGACTAATCAAAACTGAAATTAATTTGTATGAAAAACATTCCTACGACTTCTCTTTTCAGGTGCCAAATTACAAATATCTTAAATGGTCTGATCTCTAGAGGTTTCTTGTTGCCTGATCTTTAAAAATCAGCGTTGAGATACCCTAAAACTGAGGCTTTTAAAAAACAGTTTGTACACATAACTGATTATGCATCAAAAAATAAAGCTATATTTTGATGAGGTAGGGGTTGATACATCCCCCCAGCCATTCATTGCAAACCAAAACTATATGTGAGATAATTAAGTTCTAGTTTCTACAGCTAAGAGATTTTTTTTCACAACAGAAGGCCCATTTTTTCCCAAGAATATAAGACGATACTGTGCTTTTAGAAACGGCAATTTTGGTGACTTACAAATATATGTACAGGTTGTTTTGAAGGTGGTGTCCTACACAGTGGGTTATGATACAGGATTGGTGTCACAAAGAATAAACCCACACAATTTGTCATGGGACATAATTGAAACCATGTCTTTAGCAACATGAAGAAGGAGATTGGGAGTTTATAAGCCAGCAAGATAAATCCAGAATTTTTGTAGTACCCGCCAAAACAGGTCTGAAGTTCCTGTTGAAATGCATCCTAAGACCTCAAGGAATATAATACCAAACGAGTTAAAAGTACTAAAGTTTTTGAAATTGTAGTAATCTATTTTGCATGATTTGCAGAATATAGCAGTATCAGGCATAAAAAGCCACCATAAATTAGGTACATATTCTTATGTGGTGTCTAATATATTAGGCAGAATATGCTTTGTCAGTTACATTAAACACCTCCAGCATAAAAAATTTAAGCTTAAGCTGAAAGATGAAAGTGGCCCACATGTGAACTTCCTACACTGCTCTCATAAGAACAGGGGACCCACCAACTCAGCACAGAATCTCCTCTCCCCCTAAAGATTGCAGGATTCTACTAAAAGTTTTAAGATGAATGAATGGATATTTTAAGGGTAGTCTTGGGTATTCAAACTGACAAATGTATGCAGCCAATGAATATGCACTTGACTCAAGTCAAGTGGGCAGTAACACAGAAAATGTAATGTCTCCAGTAGCATTTTGTACTCTCTGGGAGTAGGTGATTTTTGGACATAGAAACCTGGAAGGAAACCCCATCTGGGATACCGTCCTCCTCTGAATAAGTAAAATTGAATAAACATTCATAGTGTATTACATGCAATGGGTGGTAAAACAGATGATTGTCAGAAGACTAAACTTCTGGAAGAAATAAGAAAAATACAGATATGGCAAAAGGTTGTTGAAAAGCAAGTGATTGTTAAAATAAGCCATGAAGAGACTGCCTCAGTCAGGTCTTTGTAGCTCTGGCTCTCTGAAGAGGTAAGAAAGGAGGTAAAAAAGTATTTTTTTTAAAAAAAGTGAAAATTATGTCCATCCCTTTCAGTTCTATCTGGGAGTCTAATAAAAGATATTATCTCTCAATACAAACCTTGTCTTTCATGGCAAGATTTACATGCCTCTGTGACATGAAATCCATTAAGCAGATCTAATTAGACATCCATGCCAGAATGTCCTCCGAATTAATGAAATACATTGCAGTCAAAAGGAAATCTCAGAGGAGCACCTAAATGGGAATAATGCCCGCCAAGTTATCTTTGGTTACCTCCTTTTCCTCTGATAATGAAAATGTTCAGGCAGCCAGAATTAATAACATTGTGAATGGCAAATAATGAGTCCCAGAATGCTGGAAGTAAAAGGGGAGTTGGACTTGTAGCCCTTTTACAAAGCAACTGAAGGAGTAAAACTGAGCATCTCAACCAAAATGATTGAAGCCTAACTCTGTCTGGTACATAAATATCATCCTTCTATTTTCATATAGCTTTATTTTTTTTCCCCAGTTTTTTAGTATTCAAGGTTATAGTATGTCAAATATAACTAATATAGCAATTTAATCAGTAGTTGCATCTCATTTAGGGCTGAGTTATTTCTTCATTTGTGAGAGATGGATAGATGGATGGATGGATAGATTAGATAGATAGATAGATAGATAGATAGATAGATAGATAGATGATGGATAGATTTTTATAAATGTTATTCTCCTACGCCATATAGGAGATTAATGTCAAAGCATTTAACAAAACCAGGCACCACTTCCTCTTGAAATAATGAAAGGAGGGAGAGGTGGGAGTAAAAAGCACTAGAGAGTGGAGCATGGGTTGGACAAATACACTGTTCACTGGGTAAAAACTGGCTGGGTAGCCAGGCCCAGAGAACAGGGGTGAATGCAGTTGCATCCAGCTGGTGGGCAGTCAGTAGTGGCTCAGTATTGGGGCCAGTCTGGATTAATATATTTACCAATGATTTGGATGAGGGGATCAATCCCACTCTGTCAGATGACACCAGGCTGGGCAGGAGCATTGGTCAGCTGGAGGGCAGGAAGGCTCTGCTCAGGGATTTGACTGGCTGGATCGATGGGACAAAGCCCAATTGCATGAGGACCACCAAGGCAAAGTGCTGGGTGCTGCCTTTAGATCACAATAACCCCAAGCATTGCTCCAGGCAGGGAGCAGAGTGGCTGGAAAGCTGCCTGGTGGAAAGGGACCTGGGGGTGCTGGTTGACAGAGGCAGCAGTGCCCAGGTGCCCAAGAAGGCCAATGGCATCTGTATCAGCAATAGTGTGGCCAGCAGGACCAGGGCAGGGGTTGTCCCCTGTACTCAGCACGGGGAAGGCCACACCTCAAACCCTGTGTTCAGTTCTGGGCCCCTCATTACAAGACATTGAGGGGCAGGAGAGTGTCCAGAGAAGGGCAACAGAGCTGGGGAAGAGTCTGGAGCACAAGCCTGATGAGGGCTGGCTGAGGGAGCTGAGGTTGTTTGGCCTGGAGAAAAGCAGGCTCAGTGGGGACATTAGGGCTCTCTTACAGCTGTCTTAAAGGAGGTTGTGTCCAGGTGAGTATCAGTCTCTTCTCCCAAGTGACAGGACATAGGACAAGAGGAAATGGCCTCAAGTTGCACTGTAGGAGGTTTAGATTGGATATTAGGAAAAATTTCTTCACTGAAAGCATTTGGACAGGCTGCCCAGAGAAGTCACCATCCTTGAGGTATTCAAAAGATGTGTGGACATGAGGACATGGTTTAGTGTTGGACTTGGCAGTGACAGGTTAATGGTTAGACTTGATGGTCTGAAAAGTCCTTTCCAAATCAAATGATTCTATGAAGATTAGTGTGGTGAGGATCAGAAGAGGCATGAGGAAGCCTCCCCTCCGTTTTGCGCACACGTAAGCCCCTCTGCATTAGGGTCCTTGCACCTGCGGACAACCCCAATCTGAGCCAGCAGCTCCCTCTCCCCATATTCAGGGAGTGTCCCTGGCGGAACAGGTATGGATCTGCCTTGCTTACTTTCACCTGTGCTTACTTTCACCCACCCTCTAGAGCTGGTTTGGAGATGTGAGCCCTGAGGAACACGAGGGGGGAGTTCCTACTGCCCCAGGGGCTCAGTGCCATGGGTGACAGCCTCTGTGCAGACACATGGGTGGTTTGCAAGGCTGGCCTCCACTCACCAGTACCCACAGGTTTTCATCGCCTCTCTCAGTTGGTCAGGCTCCCAGACATGGCCAGGACCATGCTGTGTAGGGTTGTGGACATTTATTTAAGAGCTCCTGTTCTGAGTTTAACTTTCCTGCACATGATGAAAGAGTAGTTTCCGCCAGATACTGTAATAACACAGAACACAATTTCTATTGCTTTGATTATTTTTTTATTCTTATGAAAAGAAGGCACATCTGCTCTAGCATCAGCAAATATGCAGCTTTTTAATGGCTTTATTCCCTTGTAATATTTGTCCTAGATAAGGCCCGGTTACTAATTATTCTGGCCCTGGTCCTTTCTTCCTCACCCCTGCTAAGGCATACCCCCTGTCAGAGCTTTAGTCAGCACAGAGAAAAGAAGCAGTGTCAGGCCTTCTAGCTCTTCCATTATTTTTGACTGACAGCCTAAATTAAAATCCTATACTTTGCTGACTTTCATTAAAAAGTAACAACAATTGGTGTTTGGGTGGAGGAGAGGAGTAAAAAAAAAAAAAATGAAATCAGCCTCCAAACATGAACTTTGCAATGCTTTTTATACTGCATAGATAGCAGAACTGCACCACAGTGTGTAGCATGCCAACTGCCCCATCCTTCCCGGTTTGCACTGCCTCTGGCCAGCAGGAGTAAGATGCCTGTTGGACAAGCAAAATAGCTAAGCCTGGAGAGTGTTAGTCTTTAGGGACTCGTGCCATTTAATTTTATTTTATCATGGGAAGAGGAGATGGAGACCATACTTTGAAGTTTTCTACATAACTTTATGTGTGTGTGTTTAAATGAGCATCTGTATATGTGCTTTTTCTGTGCAGTTCTCAACCATATACAATGCCAGCTTTCCCTGACCCTTCAGAAGTCTCCAGAAGGACCTAGATAAAAGATCCCACAGCAGTAACTGGCTCTAGCCAAGGTCTTTTCTTTGAGAAAGTTATTTTTCTGCATAAACTATTCAAAAGGGAAATAATTGCGTCATGCTATCAAAAATAATCTATAAAGCAAAATGTCTAGCATGCACAATTGGTTGCAATGTGCAAGGCTACATATACATTTCTGTTATTAAACTAGGGGGTTAATTTAGGCTTGGCACATAATGAATCAAGGAGATTTATAAATAATTGCCTTGGAGATAAGTCATAGAAAATTTTACATCTGCTTCTTTGTTAGTGCTTCTGGAGTGTAGTCATTTTGGGAAAGACTAAAACTAGCTGATATAGACATATTCCCCCTCTGTAAGTGATCTTGTTCTGGGCAGTCAGTTTGTTTCAGAGCAGAGAATGCAGGAATTAGGATTTGCATGTGATCCTGTTGTCTGAGGGATGTCCAGCCCATATGATTCACAATTGGAGTTTTCCTTGAATTACTGGCAACTGTGTATCAGCCAATTCTGAAGGCCAGCCTTGTCCTGACATTAGAAGGTAATGCTTTCAACTTGCTTCCCATTCCCAGGGCAGCATCTTCCAAGCCCAGTTTCTGAGAGTAGTAAATGCACCTATAGCAAATTTTCAGTGTCTGATAAGAATATTTTTCCTGTCAAACTAGAAGTGTGGGCTAACAGGCACTGACTGGTCCTACTTCTCTCCAGAGTAAAGTGAGCAAAACCCTGGCTGGAGGGGGGAGCAGTGGCTGTAAATGCACCAAATTCTTTGTTCTCCTCCCGGGTGTGTTCTGAGTCCTCTGCAGAGTCTCTCATAAATCCTAAGCAGCAGCCTGAGGGCCATGAAGGACCCACTGACATGAAGCCTTTTAAATCTGCCCTTTGGAGATTTAGGAGGGACAACAGTAAAAGCACCAGAATAACAGAGCCACCAGAAACTGCTAATGTTCACTCAGTCCAGCCTCTGCTTCCAGTTGAGCCTAAGCTGTTTTCCTTTCTATTTTTATTTAATTTTTTTTTCTTGGTTCTCAGTGTTTCCAGGGATTACTTTGTCCTTTTTTCATAAGCCATCAGTGATCTGAGACACTGAGGGAGCCGAGGATCTGATGCCAAAATGTTAACAGATTTAAGGTATCAAGAGGCAAGTCACAGGAAATAACTCATTTGTTCAGGCATTCAGAGCAAATATTTATAAATTTCTTCAGAAATAATTCCCACTTCCCAAAGCCAAAAGGCAAAAGGCAATTTTTTTCTGGATGTATTGAGACTAGTATGGGTTACTAAGAATAGCCTGGAGAGCAGGAAAGGAAAAAGCAATCTGCTTTGAATTTGTAGATCTACCTTAGACTTTAAGTAAAGTAGGATGCATTATGTCTAGGCAAAAGGACCTGGATTATGAGGACTCTGGAAAAAAAAAAAAATTAGGTCCTTTCTTGACTGGATAAGTTTACACTAAAGTGAATGAAATGCCAGAATCAGGAAATGGAAAGCTGAGTGCTTTGGAAATAGTCTTCATCACCGATCTCTTAGAAAACACTGGTTACTAGGCCTGATCAAAAAATATTTGCTCTGCTGGAAAGATGTGGTGAGAAAGAGAAATGTTTAACTGAAAACAGGAAATCAACATATTCTTTTTTCCATAACAATTGAAGTTTTCATTACTTTAAATCTTATTGCACTAACTGTAGTCTGTCAAAAGTATTTGAAATAAGGTGTTTAAACTTTTGTTTTGATTGGTGCAATTACATTTATTTAATGAAGTTAGGCCTGATTTGCACAAATGCAAATGACAGCTGAACCACTCACATTATGTCTTTTTATATATTCACCGCCAGGTCTGGGGGGGATGCATGAGTGACTGTTACATTGATCAGTATACAATAGGAGCAAACATCAAGCGCTCTTAGACAAAAATAGCAAAAAAGCAAACCTAATCAACTTACTTAAATGCAAAAGTTGTTTATGGTCTTTCTCAGTTTGCCATGAGAGTGTGTGGAATTGAGAAAAGCTCTGTGAATTTACACTAAATCCAGCATGCAGCTTTTGCACTATTTGTGAGTGGACTAGGAGACTCCACAGAAAATGGACATTTTGCAGCTCCCACCCTCTCCTGTGGTGTCTGGCTGTTGCTGACAGGTTGGAGCTGTGATCTGCTGGCAAGGTGCACCCTGCACTGAGGTTTTGGGGAGAGGGGGACAGTGGCAGGGTCCCTAGAGCCCCATCATTTAGTGTACCCCTGCTCCTCTTGGCTCATGCCAGTACCCATTACATTGTCAGACCAATAGCCGTACATTGTCCCATGTACTGGACATGTAGACACTCACCATCAGAAGGGACTTTATGCCATGCCTGAAGGAAGCTGTGAGACTTGAATGCCAGGTTAAGACAATGATTTACTTATGGTCATCATGGGTCTTTCCATTAATATTCCTATTTTCCTGGGGGAGCCATTTGTTTTGTTGTAGCTGGCTCCTGAAGAAAAACCCAAATACTATCCACCACTCTCTCTGATGACATTGCACAAAAATAAGCAACTTCCAGATTGCATTAAATTTGTCCTAAAACCAATTTGGACTAAATATGGTTAAATCAATGCATATATTGATGAAGCATTATTCTTTTATAGTTGACAGAATTGGGCCAGTTTCTCATGTATTTCCAGCTTGAATTTCTTTGGCATTTCTGGATTAGCAAAGGCACACTCTTTGCCAGCTTCAAACCAGGTAGGATCCTGGTGCTGGGGTCTTTTTGTGCAATTACTGCTGAGGGACTTTAAATTCCCCCTGATGAACACAAGCTTAGGTTAAAGCCTTAATGTGGTGTTGAGAATTGCTGCCTTATGCTTTTAGCATGGATTATGGTAGTTGCTTTAGCAGTGTGGAGGGACATAAAATGATAGTTTAGGGCAGAAAAATAATGAAATTACAGTACTCTGTTGAAACTGCTGTAGAAGCAGAGGTAGTAGACAGGGTCTGACTGCACGGAAATCTGGCCAAACAACCAGAAGCTGAGCAGCAGCTCTTCTGAGCAGAGGCAAACGTGGTTTGGTCCTTTGGGCAGAGCTGCACGGTGACCCCAGGAACAGACTGAGGTGTGGGTTTGCTGCTGACTCAGAGGCAGAGGTGCCAGGAACATTTCAGGCAGCATGTTTGGTTTCATTTCAACGTTTCCTGTTCAAAGAGCGCACCGCCTCAATGTGCTTATGTTCTCAGATGTGATACAGTCACAGCCCAATGTAGGATGGCTCCAGGCAGTGAAAGCTGTAACTGCTTTGCCAGTGAAGTGGAAAGTATGTATAATGCACATGGTATCAGTGACTAGTGTTTTATTCATTAAAGGCATCCTAGTTTTGTGCCGTTATGTCCTCAGCAGACCAGGCAGAACATACACTTTGAATTGTGATCCAGAGCTTTAGTATATATTTCAGAAGGTCTGATGTCATCACCAACTGCACAGAATATTAAAATATTTTACAACTGGTGCACAGTATCAATAGCCACGTGTATGAAAATAATTCATACCATCATTTAGAGGCACTTGTTCTCTACTGAGATGCTAATTAAGGGAAGACTACAGTACACACCCAGTGTCAGAGGTCATGGCATTACTGAGATTTTGCTCATCAAGTTGCTGGTCTTGGAAATCCTTCACAGTGCTTCCCATTTCTTTCACAATCCGTTCTGCTGTGTGGCAGATACTTGACTGGACAACAGTAAACATGCTTTTACCAAGTCAGGTTCATATATTAAAATATCTGGTCTCTCTCCATCCTAGCCTCTCTGCAAGCCTGAATCTGCAATGTTAGCAGATAAAATAAAGATGAAAAACTAGAAACAAAGCAGAACAACACAACTGCTTCCCAAAAAATCCTCTCTTACTTCTGCTTGCATTTCTATTTTGCCTATGATTACCCTAAAAACAAACAAATGGAACTGTTTGTGCTTCCCCTGTAAATTTTGGTGCAACTTTTTTCATGGTTTCCTTTTAAGCTCCAACCACATCTGAGCTCTTGAAGCCCAGACAATCTTTTTGTTTAACCCTTTTATTTTTCCCTCCAGCCTTGCTGGCCAGTATTTGTATTGCATGTTGCTAGGCAATTGTGTAATTTTTTCTTTTATGATTCTTGATATCTGAGTGCTAAGGAAGGACTACACTATAGTTAAGTACTGTAAATATTATTATGATCAAATAGTAATACCTGGTTCAGATCCCAGTGTTTTAGGTTCCACCTGTGTTGCTGCTCCCTTGAGTAGTCCAGCCCATTTTGGTGGGATGAGTCCTGCTAGAAGATCCAAACCTATTGCAAGAGTGTGATGGTCTGATTCAGAACTTGCAAATAACCTTGCCACACCCTCATTGTGTCCCAAAGGAGTATTGCTTCTGGAAGAACTGATGGCATGCTGTCTCTGTGAATATGGGGAGGAAACTTCTGTGGATTGTTTCTCCAGGTCCTGTTTCAGTTTGGGAAGAAAAGAACCTGAGGCAGAATTTCATGTATTGACGTGAATTTTTTTTTTTTATAATGACCAAAGCTCTTCCTTCCTGCAATCCACCAAGGCAACCAGCCTTATATGTTGTTCTCAACATGGAAGAATTTGAAAAAAATATTTTCCTGACAGGTCAGAAAGATAAATTGCATCTGTTTACTTAGTATTTAAGACAGAGTGCCTCAAGTGCCAGAGCAGGCTGTGGGAGATCTCCTTCATTGGTTTTAATTAACATTACTTTGCCTCATTAAAATTGCTGAGCACTTCATTCCACCTAAACTGGAATAAACTACCCTTAAAACAAAATACACATTTCCAAAAAGGAATTAGCACAAATATTAAATGAAAGTTATGAAAATCTGTATTAAATACAGATATTCTAACTTGTCTGTGTAACAAAAGTCTGATGTTAGCCTTGTAGATGTCAACTTTGTAAAATTGCCTGTCTCTATAATATTATATCTTCCTGTTGTTATTTATAACTCCCCAGACTTCCTTCTTACCTCCTCTCACCTGCCAGTACTCTTGTGGCTGACAAGAAAAAGCCACTGACAGGAGTGGCTTTTTCTCTCCCCACCCACTTATTCTAATCCCCATTCCAGCTCTCAGTGGCTGAACAGTATCTCTTGGACATAGTCTTTACATCCCCTCCTCAGAGGACAAAGTACAATTTTTCCTTTTACAATTCCCAAAAATGTATAGAGCAATTTATATGATGAACTGCCAAACAATTGCTTTCAGTTCACCATTAGCAAGGGACCTTGCTTTCAGGTTTTTAACACGTGACCTCCACATATCAAAATAACCTTTTCAGACATTGGAAAGCTCAACAAGATGTGAAAAGAAGTCAAAGTGAAAGCCCAGGAGTGTGTCATAATGACACTTAAAAACTGGCCTCATTGCAGCACTCCTCAGGAAAAGCACATTAAGACTGGAACACCACACATCCTCAACATTTTGTAGTCTTAAGTTACCTCAGTACTGAGATGTTATTAATGCATCAAATCACTGATTGTGTCTGAACAGGAACACAGAAGCTGCCTGTTAGAAAAATTCACAACTAAAATAGCTCTTTGGAAGGAAGATGACCAGTCTATTTGGGGAAAATACTGTAATTCAAATGAAGCAAATGTCAATTTTCGCTGGTATTTGCTAGCTGTTGACCTTTGTAAGGTGACCTTTGTAAGGGACCAGTGCACCTAACTCTTGTTGCAGAGTTCCCCTCTGTGCAGTGACAGGAGAGGAATAATCAGTTTCTGGAAGGCAGTTTGATTTCCCTCTCTTTTCCAAAGGAACTCAATCATCTATCATCCTTCATTGCATCCTCCATTGAGTATGGAGGTGAAGGTGACTGTGCTTTCAGTTTGGGAACCTCAAGTAGGTTTCTGGAGTCAGGAGGGATGATTCTAAGCACATGTGCATAACTGTAGCTTGACACTTGTGTTTTTTTCCTTTTTGACTGCTGAAGTTGTGAATCCAGACAGTTTACAATGACATATCTCTGCTAATCTGCATAAATCTTCAGATAATAACCTAAATGAAGTATCATTTATTCTCCAGCACTCCTAAATGAACTAGCCATGGTCTCAGAGGGTGATTTAGTTTATAAAATGAGAACGGTCAAATACTACATAAAATATAGATAGGGGCATGGCAGTGGTTATGCTAAGGAGAGTTCACCTGGGCGAGGCAGGAATTGCAGGCTGCTTCTGAGTGAAGAGGTGAAAATGTCTGTCTGGTGTTTTGCCAAAGCATTTGCATCTTTTTCCTGTTCTTTGTTCAGTTGTCTCTATTGGACAGGGCTCACTGTTCTCTCTGTGATTGGTAAAGCAAGGTTCTTTTGAGCTTCTTGAAGACATCTGAATGTTTTTTCAGTGACAGGTTCAGTGGCCCTCCGGTGAAACCCAGAGTTTGGAGTTACTTTGGACTGACTTTTCTTGATAAAAAATGAGATTTCCAGTGTATGAGTGCAAGCTAATCATCAGTGAGTGAGAACCTACATGATTTTACAAGCCTGGGTCCTGACAATGAGCAGTATTTGAAAGAAACACACATGGACAACCAGGTGTTGAAATACTAAAGGGAGGAATGTGTGAAAAGGAGAAAAGGAAAAATTAGAAATTTAAGAAATATGATGAGATGATGGAAGCAAACCAGAAGCCATGCAGTCTGATATAAATACCAGCCCTTTTTCAGATACCCAGTGAAAAAAAAATTATGGGAGAAACTTCCTCTTGTAGACCAGGAGAGCCACTGGAGAGATACTTGAGAGGTTACAGCTTGTGGAATTGAGGATTTAATCTGCTGCTGTGAGGTTCTTCAGCCATCCTAAAATTCAAGTAACACAGGCAGTGCTATGTTTAGGTGAATGAATAGAGAATTCAGCAAGAAATCTGTCAGCTGTCTCCCTAGATTAAAAAAAAAATAAAATTGAATGAAACTGTAAGATTGGCAAGTTTCCACCAGTGGTTACTAACAATAGAGGAAATTATTTGGGTAAATGTAGAATTATGCAAATTATAGAAGACTTTGGGCAAGGACATGGAGAAAAGCCAGTTTTATTTTCTTAGATATCATTTCAATGATTGAATGAGGTGAAAACCACAGAAGTTAGGAGACCCAGGGTTTGGATAGATGACTGCCCTTCTGAGGTGAAACTGGAAGTTAAGATTCTGTGGAAAATTATTCATCACACCGCGCCCAGATCATAGAATCCTAAACATACAAAGTGCAAGGAAAAATAACTAGATAATTCATCAAAGGAGACATAAAACAAAAGAGAGAGCAACAGAGTTCAAACTTAGATTTTTTTTATTTTTTTTTTTGCAAAACAAAATGAGTCAATGTGATATAGAATGTCAGATAAAGAGATAATCTTAATGCTTAGAAATTGCATTAATACTTCAGACAAACTGTAGGAATGAAACATTATCCGTGAAGAAAAGATACAATTATGGTACAAATGCCATTTCTAAAAACTAATAGGTTGGTTTCTAATACTGAAATATTAAGGTCATTGGTTTCTATCTTGCTTATGAAAGACAGAGAGGGCAAGAAGGTTGGGCAGAGAGTGAGGAGAATCTATAGTACAGTCTGCACAAAGCCAGTGCTGCCTGTTGTATGAATATGGATAGCGCTGGGATCTTGAAAGCATGTGGGTCAATATTAATCAGCAGAGCCTCAGTGAACAGTGTGGTGGTGGATGTCCTCAGATCACTCACAAGGTTAACAGAAAGGCTAAAATCTGTAAGGTGCTGCTTACATTTCTGTCTGTGATGGGTGGAAGGAAGAATGGCAGGGATGTAGGGCATCACAGTGGGAGACATGCTGCCTCCTGAAGACAATGCTAACATGTTATTAAAGTTTGAATAAAAGATGGATGAGAATATCCTACCTCAGGAGGCAACTGCTTTCTAAAATTTTCTTACAATGATAAAGAAATTTTACCTGAGTGAATGGTGAGGACCCTGTGATCACAGCCTGGTTATATTCAATATGGGCATAAAGGTTCCTGTCATTAAAGAACAAGTAATATATCTGCTTTGCTCCTCAGAAGGATCAATACACAAAGCTGAGGAAAACTAGTAGTAAAATAAACTGTGGGAAAAATCTTTTCTACAAAAATGCAAAGAGTTTTTAAAATGGATTTTATTGGATGAGGAGATATAGATTCTCTTACAGAGTGTGACAATTTTTGTCTAAAAGCCTATTCTGTTTCAGGATTATGAAAAAGGCAGTAATTAGAAATAAAGAAGCAATATTATAGCTAAATAAAAAAAAAGCTTAGGAGATGATAATCAATAGAAGTTAGAAGTTACAAAGTGTAGATAATTGATGATGGAAGCTAAAGGCATCAGGGGAAAATCAATGGTTAGCAGTGCTGGGGACAGTAAAGATTATTTAAGTATGTTAGAAAAAAAGATAACCGAACAACAGTATAAGGCATTACTTGATGGAGATGGCAAAATCGTTAATGATGCAGAAAAGAGAGTTCATCAATAAACATTAATGTTCTGTATTTTTTCTGGAAAAAAAGCAAGGTTACGTGTATGAAACAGGTGATGATGGTAAAGTACTTTACAGCTCAGTAATGACAAAAAAGGACATAAATTGCCTTCTAGGTTAAGGCAGACTTACAAAGAAATTACTATGACTTGCTGAACTGGCCCATTCGTTAGGAATGCCTCCTAATTCAAAGAAACTCTGTAAATTAAGGTAGCAAACAGAGGACTTATCTCTGCATAAGTGGAGTTTTAGCGTATTAATGGTATCTTAGATGGGGTAGGAGGTCATAGTTACTAGATTTAGGAAAGGACTGACTTCCAGACTCCATACTCAGTTCTTAGTGTGTTTGTATCTTCTTGAAGGTGTCCTTTATGCATTGTAAGAGCAGAGGGAAGTGGACATGCTGTGAGTGAGGACCAGACTGGAGAAGCACAGCCTCTGACAGCCTTACCTTGGTTGAGTTATGTGAATGGAAGTGGAAAAGGGCTTTGTTCAGGGTGTGGGAGATGTACACATGGCCACATCAGAATAGTTAAGGGACCAGATTATACTGAGAAGTGTGTGAAGTGTGTTTCACTGTGTTTTCACTGTGAAGTGAAAAGTGTGTTTTATTCTTCTTATGTGAAGAATAAAATGACATAAAAATCTGAGGTGGCATTTTCAGAAGTTCTCAGTTTTTGTCTTTTTTGCTCATTGGTTTTCATATGAACAATGGTTTCAACAGTGAATATAATATATTGCATCACCTGATCAGTACCAGTGCTCTTGTTTTGATAACATTTAGAAAGGTGAAATAGTAGTAACAGAGATGAAAACTACTGGCAACAATCCCTTTTCAGTGATAGATCTCTTCAACTTTCTCATAATCATCTGTACTTCACCACAGAGCTATTGATGTCATAGCACAGAGGGAAATTCTCTCTCCTGGTTGTGAAAGTGACACAAAAAACTCAGCTGCCTTTGTTGTGTTTCATATTAAATAATGTCAGGACAAAAATAAAAACCCTGGCAACAGCTGAGGTAAATCAACAGCTAGCAATGCTTATAGTTTATGACCTTCCTGGGGGTTCCATGTTAGAAGAATTATTTTGTGAGGAGAAAAACATTCTTTTGCTGGGTGTTTTCATATCCTGCAGCAAACCACAAAAAGCCAACATTGGCTCCCCAGCTCCTCCTTCTCTCTGATATGGCTTTGCAGCCACCAAGACCTTACGGC